TCGATGTCAACCTTATCAAAAAAAAAATCCTTTCTGCAACGACGTTGCGTGTAAGAACTATTATCCATATCTGTGTGATGGTCAACCTAGTAATTGCTTTCAGACTTGCGACTGTGCTGCCTATAGCTGTTATTGCTTCTGCCCGCAATAAATATATATATGTCAATGTTTAGTTACGTTGATGACGGCAAAGATCCATCGAGGTGCATGCACGAATCATCATCATCGTCGTCTTCGGCACGGCAATTTGGTGCCTCTATCATTTTTTTTTTCTTCTCCTTTTCATGTGTACGTGTGTTTTTTTCTTCCAATTTAATGTGCTCGATCTTTTAGATCGATGATTTCGGTGTTTTCTTCTTGTCCCGGTTGGCAAGTGATCGGTCGACTCCTAATAATTGCTGCCCATTCTTCACTTCCTCGATGGTTTAGGGACTGTTTTGTATGGATTTGTCTTTCTTTCTTTGTTTCGGTCATCAATAAAATAATAATAATAATAATAATAATAATAATAATTGGTCGATCTCGTCAACTTCATTAATCCAATATTTTTACCATATATTACGCAATAATAATCTGAAAATTACTTGAAGATCTCAAAAGAGATCACATCATCGTGATCTGCCACTACAACAAACAGACATTTAGTAACATGCCCGTAATCCTTATTTCTAAACTATTAAAACGTAAAATATAAGAATCATAATTGATTTTCATCCAAATTCATTCGTTTTCTTTTCATTGCATTATAATTAATGGTTGGGACTATTTTTACATGAGCAAGTCATTCAAAAAGAGAATTATGAGGCGGGTGCATAATGTGCCCCAAACATTTGTATAGTGAAGAAAATATGTATATAATTGTATATTCAAGACGACTACACAAGGTTTTGTTTGCAGAAGGAAATGGTATGCAATACCAAAGTAAATTGACACGTGAATTTTAACATGATTCAGCCTCACGATGGGTGAGACCTAGATGGGAACACCACCACATTGGCGCTCACCATATACCCTTGATTATTTTTTTCACATTATTAATAAATCATCATTTATCAAAACGAATTTTTAATTTAAAATTGCTACAATGACATCAACGTGATCAATATGTGGTAAGCAATATTCCTTGTAATTTAAGGCATAAAGCTTGGAAAAACTCTTCAACCAAAAGCAAAAACAAACACAACAAAACAAAATGCCTTGTTGTCCCCCTCCTCTTGCTGCAGCCTGCAAGCACAACAAGCTCACAATTTTACCCATGAGAGACAAGGGGAAGCAATGAAGATATCGAAGTCCTCTTCCTATTTCGTTACACTATATATAGATCGACAATTTATAGCAGGAAGACTCATCAGCTTATAATTATCTTCATTGCATAACTAACGAGATATTTCAATCGAATTACTCAAAAAAAAGCTTATTGTAAGTGTAAGTTCAATAGCCATGGCGATGAAGATGATGCAGCCCACCAGTATTGCTAAGCCGGCGGCGGCGGTCGTCTTGCTTCTGCTCATAATATGTATGTTCACTTCTTGCTTAATCCATTCCCGCGTGCAATAACAATATATGTATTCATCGTAGTATTGAATGTTTCGAAATGCAGGCATTTTGCCTTCAAGCGCATCGAGAATCATCGGTCCGGCGAAGTCTGGTAATGATGCTCCGACGAACGTCAGGTACAGTATGGTCCATCGATGACGGCGGCGCATAGTCTATATCTATCAAGATGATAAAAAAAATTTCGGTGTTTAATTACTATTCTGGGCACAGCAAAAAAAAATTACGCTACTTTTCTGATTCGATATCGTCAATGATGATGCAGTAGCCACCAGATTTTGGCCTCCCATCTCGTGGCTAAAAGTGGAACAGGTGTGGTCACAATACCTCAGTCAACATCCAAGAACAATACGGCTTCGGTACAGGATTATTGCACTCCTTCTTGCAACGATGCTGCATGTGATCGATATTACGATTGGTTCTGTCGGGGACAAGATCGTAACGTTTTCCGGGGGACTTGCGACTGTTCCACCCTTTATTGTTATTGCTACTGCAGTGAATAATAAATATACTAGCTTTTTGGCTCGCGCTTTGCAGCGTGAGAAACTAATTATATTTAAAATTTCATCCACATATTTAATGATGTAGTAATTCATAAAATTTGAGTAAGATATGAATATATGCTCAACATAGTATCTAAATCATTACTAATGAATTATGCCATAAGTTTGCTTAAGTGATACATAAGAAATATATGTTATATTACTCCATAAGTTTAAGGTAATATATTGTAATTTATGTAACTGTTAATGAAGGGTGTTATGTAAATATTCCATAATGTGTGGTCTAATAATAAAATTAAGTTATGAAAAATATCACATTTGATTGAATTGTCATGTAAAAATGAACTAACATTGTGAAATATTTTCATAACGTATCTGTTTATAAACTTTGTTATGTAGATCTTTCATAAATATGGTCTAATAATAAAATTAATTTATGTAAA